GGTGATATCCTGAGAACATGTCCAGGAAGCTAAGGCTTTCATGATTGGCGGTCGTGTCGATGAGCTGATCTATTCTTGGCAATGGATAGGCGTCCTTCGGACAGACCGCATTTAGATTTGTGAAATCTATGTACATTCGCCATAACACGGACGCCTTGCGGACGAAAACAGGGTTCGACAGCCAAGTAGGATACTTGACCTCTCTAATAAAACCAGCTTTTAACAACCGCCTCACTTCTTCCTCCAAGGCCATTTGCTTTTCCAGAGACGCTGTTCGCCTTCTCTGTTGGATGGGCTTTGACTTACTTTTCACCGAGAGGTGATGCTCCGCGAGTTCTCTTGAGACGCCCGGCATGTCCTCCGAGGTCCATGCGAACAGATCTTTGTACTCTTTGAGGAGCGCCAACAGCTCTCGAGCTTTCTCTTCTATTAGATGGGAAGAAATTCTCACCTTCTTTTCAGGTTCCTCGTCATCGAGGACTACCTCCGCGTCTCCTTCAACCGCCTCCGGGCGGGGGTGTCCCCCTCGGGTGTCCACCAAGTCCACCTCCAAGCTTTCTATCGTTGCTTGGTAACACTCCTTTGCTTGCTCTGTGTTTCCTTTGACCCGTCCTACTCTTCCCCCTGCTAGGAATTTAAGCATCTGATGGCAAGTAGACGGAACCGTGGAAAACAGTGACAGGAAACCGCGCCCTAGAATTGCGTTATATGCCGACGGGCAATCTGCAACGTGGAATTCCATGGTGTGGGTCTTCGTCACATCCCCCTCTCCAATTGTTACCTGTAGGGCGATCATGCCTAGCACTCTGATCTTTGATCCTGAGAACCCCACGAGGCTTGTCGTCGATGGCTTAAGATCTTGCATGCTCATCTTCATACTCTTTAGCGTGGAGTAGAATAGTATGTCTGCTGAGCTTCCGTTATCCACCAACGCCCTTGTGACTTTGAACTTCCTTGTTCTCAGAGAGATGACTAGTGGATCTTCTGCGCTCTCATCGGGTGCTAGCTCAGAGGGCGAGAAATTGATGTCCACTTGTTCGCCTCTATTAACATTTAGGCATTGGACTAGGCGGTCCCCCTCATTTCGGGGTCGCTTCCGATCGCCTGCGATGGTAATGACTTCTATGTCATCCTCATTCAGCCGGGGGTGACGCTGAGGTGACCTTCTGGGTGGTGGTGGTAGGCGGTCGCGTCGCGGGGATCTTTCCCTCCTCTGCGATCTTGACCTTCTGCGCTTAGGCGTGCGCGACCTTCTTCTCGGGCTTGGCGACCTCTCTCTGTGGTGTCTTTCCTATTGACGGTGAGGACGTGTATCTAGTCGGCTTTTGAGGTCTCCAGGCGCCAAGTATTTCAGACTGGCCCTGAACTCCCGACACTCTGTGGTGTCGTGGGTGGGAATCTGATGCCAATCGCACCACTTTCGATCCTCCTCCCTCCTATGCGTCTGGTGCGCATTGCTGTTGTCGCCTCTCCTTTCTCTCCCTTCTTCTTTGCTGGTGGTGAAGACTTCCCTTCGATTGTCACGGTGGGCAAACCGTGGTTTATAGCTGCGTCTTTCCGGTGACCGCCCTCTTCCCTTGGGCGATTCTCCCTTTTTCTTCTCTGGCCTTTCCTTTGCGTTGACACGCTTAGCGGCATCCTCCACGATCATGGCCTCTTCCAACAGAATCGCCTTTCTCACCAGGCGGTCCAAATCAGGCCATTCCTTCAGTGCATGTTCCTTCTTGATGAGCGCTCTTCGCAGCTCACAGCTGTGTGTTGACATGCGCAGGTTTTCTGCTGCTACACTTGGTAATATCCCTTGCACTTCACATGCTATAATGTTCCATTGGTCGTAGAAGTCGGTCAGCGTCTCTTCTCTGCCTTGTTTGCAGTTGATTAGGGCAGAGAAGGTTAACTTCCTCCTTCGCTGGGACGCAAACTTGGAGGAAAAAAGGGTGGCGAACTGCTCGAAGTTTTCGATTATTCCCTCGCGAAGGGAGGTGTACCAAGTTCGGCAGTGTCCGGCAAACGTGACCGGGAACGCCTTGCACAGATCGGCGTCTGTGGCGTTGATGAGCTGCATTTTCAGTATGAAGGCGCTCAGGTGGTCGGCGGGATCGGAGCTTCCGCTGTAAGTCGGTAGCCCGAGTGATGAGAAATTTGGTGGTACTTGAGTTCTGAACAAACTTTTGGCCAGAGGGTTTTGGAGGACGTTATGGGCCTTTGCGCCCCCGTATGAGGGCTTAAAATGCTCTTCCAAGAACCCCAGGCTGACATCTTCCGTTCCTTCTTCTTTGTCAGACTCCCCGCCTTCTGTCGAAGCAGGGCTGTCGGGGTCCTTGTCCCTTCCTTTTCCTTTGGTTGTTCGCTTCCCTGAGCTTTCTGGGGCCTCGCCTTCCTTCTCCTTGAGCATGGCCAAGATTTGGCTCAAACTCTCTTGCATGCTTGATATTTGTTGTCCTTGACTTTTGACACGGTCTTCCATCTCCATCTCTTCCTCCACCACGGGCATTTCTAACCCACGGAGGCCGCTCGTTGCGATCTCTTGGCCGCGGAAGCTGTCTCCCCCGACAACGCCTTTGACAGGAGTGTTGGAGCTCCCATCCATCATTTCTTCAGTGCCTCTCTCGCCCCACGGTGGGCGCCAAATTGTTTAAGCCTAGATTGTTCCAAGCGGTTTGTGCAGAGCGAGCAAGGAGTCTGTTCTAGATGGTGGGTGTACTCCAACCCCTACAAAACAAGGGTCCGTGGGCGGTTCCCCGGACACTCTCTAATGCTTAAGTTAGAGAGAGAATAAGAAGTATTGTTTAGGTTTAGATAGAGAGAGAGTAGTTGAGTTACCATTAATGCCGATACCAGTGTATTTATAGTCAGCCAGTTTGAGTATGAGGCATTAAATGCTTTGTCAGGCGGCCTAGATAGGCTCAGCTCTATTTGGACCGCCTGCGGCGGGCATTAAATGCTCAGTCATGCTGTGTACGAGGTAAGTATCCTAGGAAGATCTACTTTTCCTGACACCAACGGTCTCCTGTATCGGGCGGCCTATTCCCCGTCGCGTCATAGGGTGGCCGCCTGTGGTGTCTCTTTTCCCCATGTCCCCTCGGGTCTCTCACGGTGACTCGGACCCATCCTTGGGCCTACCTCTGCCATCTGCTCGTGGGCCTCTTAGGCCCAATACCGCTTAACTATGGGCCCAACAGGGTCCAACCGGGGGTGCGATAGGGGTTTAACAACCTTGCTCACATGGCAAGGATGATATATAAAGATTTCCCTCAACTTTGGCTACTAGTCAACCATTGACATCATAACAAATGGGAAGACCGTTGATCACAAGTGTGGATGATAGATGGATAGAGAATGCATCTTTGTGACTGATTATCTAGTTAGTATGAGTCATTTATTCACTTTTGGTGTCCATCAATTCATTCGATATGCGTGACGACGTATTATATAATTGGATTTACCATGATGTTTGGACATTGCCCAAAGTCGATTATGCTAATAGATGTTACGACACAATTGGAGTCTATTTTTGTATTAAAAAAAAAGACTGTGAATGAATAAATATTGTAAGTCTCTTCTAGTGAAAAAACCTTATGGTCTTTTTATATGAGCTGCTTTAGATAGATTGTCGTTGACTCATACATGCACCGCTTAATTTGTCTCATGTCATATTGACCATGTTGTAGTTGATTTTCTCATCGACACATGTGAAATATACAACTGAAAACAAAAGGAATTTTGAAAGGAAATTATCTTCCAAGCTAAAGAGATTAAATCAGAATTAGAATGTCAATCTACCATTCGAAATGGTAAGTGGAGTATTATATTTTTGTTTAATATTCCTATTAAACATATCACATTGTGTATCACGTTATTACATATTACTTATTAGGTGCGCGTTATTGTCACCTTATTCGTACTCGATGTCGATGGTACCACTTGCCCAACCATTTAGAATACTCTACTGATATATTTTTGTCATATATATAAAAAAAAAAACTGGCAAGAAACAGTTGACGTGGGCCATGCACAAGATATACGTACAAAAAGCCTTTTGGGTTAAAATCTATTGGGCCAAATGAGTGTAACAGCGAAATCTGATTTGGGCCTAATGATGGTTTGGGGTAGGGTCAGTAATCAATGGTTACTGACCCATCAGTAAATACACGGAAACCGTAGATTTGGGGATGGAGCAATCGGGTGGTTGGCTGGACGCAGAGGTGGAGAGGGGCATTTTTGTCCGTTTTTGTATTTTTACTTTTTATTCCGCATTTCAATGTCTGACTTTTCAATGAAAGAGAAAGAATAACATTTTCTCTGTAACTCTATTTACTTTCTTCTCTCTTCATTCTCTCTTCCTTTTTCCAATCTCTTTCTAGATTCTTTCTCAGTTTCTTCTCTTACTTTTTCTCTCACAATCTCTTTTCCAAATCTAGATATGCTCTCTTCCATCTTTATTTTTTTCTCTAGCAATCGACTAATAAAAATTGAAGTCACCCTCTTTAATTGTGTTTCTTCTCTTCATCAACTCATTGGCTTTAATTTCGATCTTTCTCCTTTTTTGGTGTTTGGTGTTCTTTGGTTGCGGATGAAATGAGATGAGACAGAAGACAAATTTTTTTTTCTCTCCCTCCTTTTGTTTTTGCCCCTTTCATTTAGATAATATATATTGGTATTACCACACTATACCATATGATATTATGTGGTAACGAAATATATATTGGTATTACCACTCTATACCATATGGTATTACCACACTATACCATATGGTATTGGGTGGTAACGAAATATATATTAGTATTACCACTCTATACCATATGGTATTACCACTCTATACCATATGGTATTACTACTCTATACCATATGGTATTGGGTGGTAACGAAATATATATTGATATTACCACACTATACAATATGGTATTGGGTGGTAACAAAATATATATTGATATTACCACACTATACCATATGGTAGTAACGAAATATATATTCATGTGGCAAAAAATTTCATACCATATGATATGCTCTTATTTATACCAGTCAATACCATATGGTATAGACTGGTAATAACTGACAAATTTTTTTGTGTCCAAAAAATATCAAAGTGGATATCATTTTGAAGAGCACAATTAATCTGATCTAACTGTGCAAAAAAATTAAATTTCGACTTAAAATGAGTGAGAAATCATCCGTTAAAGAGAAGGAAAATTAAATGTTTTGCGAGGAGAGAGAAGGAGGCGCTGATGTGGTACGGTCAAAAGTCAACCTCAGCAATACATAGGAGAAAGTGCAATTTTACTGTATTGCCCTTTTCACATTTAATTTAAATGAAAAAGTGTCTGACACGTGGGGACCATAGAAGGGGTTACTGACCCATCAGTTACTGACCCGATCTGGACCCCTAATGATGGTCCGTTCGTAAGAAAAAACGGTACGGCATGACGGCCGGCCGCCGGCGCCTGCAAGTGTCGCTCTGCCTCGTTACTTCCGGGTCCTTTTCTCTAATCTCTCTTCCATCCTGTTAATCTTTGTCGTCTTCCATTTCTATAATCACCAATAAACCCAAAGTTTAGCAGAAGAAGATCAGATAATACATCAATGTCCATCTGATTAGTAGTTAAAAAACAAATTTAAACAGCTGGGATCAGTTTCTCAATCCCCTGCAATCTCCCTCGTTTTCTCCGATTCCGAAACAGTTTGCATCCCTCATACTTGACTACTTCCATATGTCCAAGTTTACATATAATACGAATCAGAACTTCACACATCTCTCCCTCTCTCTCTCTTTCTCCCTCTTCCCGATTCCCTCATCTCACCCAAAATTGGAAGTAATCAGCGGCGGCTGGAAAATGAACGGCGCCGGCGGGAGGTTTAGATTGAACAATCGGGGCGGCGGAGTGCAGCGGAAGGACAGAGATAACGACGACCTGACACTGTTCAAGGAGTTGTATAGACGGGAGAAGGATCAGGCTGCAAGTCTTCTCCAGCCCATCTCCGATGAGTTCGAGGTTAACGCCGGTGAGAAGCTAAACTACTTTAGTCTTCTCTGGTACTGCTTGTAATATTGTGTTGGGTTATCATAAACATGGCTACTTTTTTCGAATTTCTGTGTTCGCGGCGGCAGCGGGGACTCACCATTCGTTCTACCGTATCCCGTCGGGGAAGAAAGACGGATCGCAGGGCTACGAGTTCTTCGGCGGCGGCGGACATGGCAAAAACGATTATGATTGGTATAATTGAAGATAGATTATTTTGGTTAAATTAAGAACCCACTCTGATTATCATTCCATCTCTTGTCCTGATCTAAAAAGGTACGTTTTTTTTCCTGTAATGATAATGATATATGGAATAGGTTAAAAACGCCGCCGGCAACTCCCCTGTTCCCGTCTCTGGAAATGGAAGCCAGTCGGCCGGACTTATTGGTCCAGCGGGAGATCACCGTCGTTCAGCCTCTGTCACGGGTACGTACTTCACGTCGTTGCAGAGTGTTACATTTTATGTTTACAATAATTGGTTTTCATTCGCAACGTAAAGACTCAATTCGTATTAATTCTGAGTTATGGATCGAGTTGTATGTGATTTGATGATATAATTCGATAAGATTTCGAGTCATTTGAAGTTTGCACATTTTATGGGGATGTCAGTTTGCAGCCAGTTCGGAATCCGGTAAGTCAAGAACAACTAGTACCACAACAAGTCCGACGACCACAACCAAATCCTCGCCGTCGAGACCAAAGATGCCGACCAACAGGTCATCACTCGCTGGCCAACGACCAACCCCCAATGTTGCACATCCAGTAGGCAACGAAGTTGGGCCCACACTAGTCCAATATGGTCGACCAAAGCCCACTACAGATCACTACGCTGGGCCAAAACTGCAGCCCATAATAGAGAGAGCTACCAATACCACTACCATTCCATCATCCGTCGGGAAATCCAATGTGAAACCGGTACAACAACCCAAAACCAGGGGATTGTCTCCTGGAGTAAGATCCAACATTGCAACAGTTGCTGCCGCGGTAGCAGCCGATCACCACTCTCGAACCACAATTGCCAGCTCCAGGCCCGATCGCGCTAGCTCGACTAGCCGGATCAGGCCCAAACCGATGCCATTTGGGCATCAAAAGACCTCCGCGGCCACTACTGCTGCTGTTCCTGTAAAACCGCGGAGCAGCAGCAGTAGCAGCAGGCCACGATTATCATCAACATCTACTACGACGACTAGGACGACGACGACTACCGCGACAAATAATGAAGGGAGCTATGTGCACAATCAGAAGAGCCGCGGTGGTGGTGGTACACAGGTGTTTGGGAGTAAAATGGTGGATAAAGTAATGTCTGCCAGAAAATCTTATTCTACTACTACTTCAGGGGTTGGACAACATCTTGAGGCAGTACAAGGAGCTAATAGTTTGAAGCCAAAGGCTAAGCTCAGTGCTGAAGGTCTTGGTAACGGCGGCGACAAGGCCGGTAATCCTGCCGGCGCTCCGGCTGCTGGGTTTGGACGGATTTTGGCTCTCCGCAACATGGTAAGTCGGTCTAAGTAGGAGTTAACCTAGCTAATCAATCTTTACTGATGTTGTCAATGAGTTGGGTGTGTGTTAATGTTGTTTTAATATGGTGGATTTGAACTTTGCGCAGGAGTTAAATCGAGATCGGAATAACAGGTCACATTATAATCAGCATGCCACCAGGTCTTGATCAAACAAGAACAAGCTAGCTAGCTAGCCGGTTTGCTATGGAGATGAAGAGCTATACTTTCTTTGATTTTTCATTCTTTAGTTTTTATCACTTCATGCACATTATTAACTTATAATTATGTATAATTTTAATCAGATTGTTGAGAACTCAAGGTGAACACCGGTCATATGTACCCTGGTCGATGTATGGTTTTGTCCGTGTTTGTTTGTTAACGTAGACAATGAAATTATCGATTTTGATATGTTTATTTGGAGGCGTTACTTAATTAAGTGTCAAATAACCATAAAAGATTAAACAAATAATATAATTTACTAAGCATAACACGACAACAGAAGTCCAAAATCCTGGCTAGATAGCTAGCAAACACACCAGCATAGAGGTTGTCATAAAAAGAATGAACCATAGAGTCCCCCTAATTGTCAAAGTGAAAACCTTTACATCGGAAAAATATAATATCGACTCTATAAAACCATGATAGATGACAATGTGCCTAAGGGAAAAAACTCTGCCTACAGCAAAAAGACTACTTCCACACAAATTAGAGAATAATGAATGCTATGGTCCTGTTTACACCATAAAATTTGTCTTGTACCACATTGGTGAGTTACAAGATAATCAAGGAGTTTATAAGGCCACTCTCATTATAACAATTAATGTTGTTTAAATTGGGCCTTATGGATATTGATTTTAAACCCAAGTCACTAGCTCATTAATGAGCATGGACATGATTCAATAAGGGACATGAGCCTCTCGTAAGAGGCCATGCCATGCCACGAGATGGCATGAAAATTTCTAAGTATGAGAAGTCCATGGCCATGAATATAGAGGCCATGCCGCCTCATAACCAAGACCAAACGACACAAAAACATGTCCTTCTAGAATTTAGAAGCACATGCCATCTCAAGGAAGACCTCGATACGGTCAAAAATATTCTAAGTCTCGAGAAGGGCATGCCAATTCACGAAGAGGCCATGCCGCCCCATGACCAATGCCTAATGACTGAAAAATAAACTAAGTCTGGAAGAGGTACATGCCACTTCAAGGAGAAGCACGTGCCGCTTCATGAGAAGGGGCATGGATACAAGATGAGACGTCCATGCCACTTCACGAGAAGGGCATGGACGCAAGAAAAGATACTAAGTATGAGAGGGCCATGCTGTGTCACGAGAAGGGCCACAGACATGACTGAGAAGTCCATGGCCGCGAATGAGGAGGCCATGTCGCCTCATGATCCAAAATATACTAAGTCTGAGAAGGTCATGTCGCCTCACGAGAAGGGTCATGTGCATGATTAAGAGGTCCATGGCCGTGTCATGTGATGGCCATGGACACGAAGCAAGAAGCGTTATAAATTATTGAAAATACTAAGTATGGAAAGGCCATGCCGCCTCATGAGAGGGGCCTTGTGCATGATTGAGAAGTCCATGCCACTTCACAAGAGTGGCCATGGACACGAATGAGAAGGGCGTGGTGGTGGAGCACTATATCAATAATGACTAAGTCCCAAGTGGGCCATGGACATGGGTAAGAAGTCAATGGCCATGAGACAAGAGAACCATGACCCCCTTTGCGAGATACTACATGCTCGTCAAAAGACTAGCATGGCACGAGATTCAGAACAAAACCAGGCGAGGCAAGCTACACTCCAAACCCACGACGGTTCCAAGAGAGGCACCTAGGCGGTTGAAGGAGTAACCACCACTCCGAGGAAGCAGGGAGCAGTTCTTTTTGGGAGTTATCCAAGAGGCGGTTTTCTACCAAAGGAGGAGGAGCGGTTCTTTGTAGCAGTTATCCAACAAGCGGTTTTCTATGGCGGTTACCTCCTCGGGGCTATAAATAAGAAGAGGGGTCGACAGAGACAGACGTTCAAAAAACGAACACTCTGACACACATGTCAAGTTTATCCTTTACCTTTTCTCTATCATGTAGCCATAGATGTAGTTCGTAGTTTGGAGCTCTCGCCGAACCTCCATAGGAGTAGAAGTAATTTAATTTAGATCTCGTTCCCAAAAATCATCAATCAAACACCCTCGTTCGAACTTTGTTTGAAGAGGTGTGAGCCGTGTCTTAGAAATCGTTGTCCATAGAAGTCAAAGGTGCAATCCATCTCAATTCAACAAGAGTTTTCTCGCCGGGAAACAAATTTGGCACACCTGGTGGGACAATTGTGTTTGATTTGATGGCTCCACGACTGAGAGAAAGAGAAGGTGATCTTTCACCTGGGTTTGTGATGGATCTTGTCGCCAATTTTGAACTTGGCCAAGAAGGAAAAGGATTGGTCGGAAATAATGGCAAGGTAGAGGCTTTGCCACCGCCGACACCTTCTGTCAAAGTAACCACCATCGTCATGTCACGCCATTTGATAGTGGAGGAGACACAGAAGATGATGACGGAGAACCGCCTGGCCATGGAGAAAAACCTCCAGGCCATGGAGGAGAACCGCCAATTCATGGAGGAAAGTTGGGATGAACTTGTTAGATGTTCACATCAGACAAGTCTCAAACTTGCTTCTCTTAGTTCCACCTTAGATAGAAGGTTGGACCAATTATTTGAAGTAGTTATAAAAAATAAAAATTGCTTGGATAAGTTTAAAAATGATTTTATAGATCCAGTGGTGCAAGAAATATCTTTACCAAATAATGGTATAGATCCACCACCAATTATTGCTACTAAGGATACAATTATTATGGTCTCCGGTGGTCGGACTGCCCAACCACGGTCAGGGAACTCGTCGCCTCCGGTGACAAGTCAACCCCCTTTTTTACGTGGTGGTTATGGAGAGAATATCACTTACAAGTTCTCCACCCACGTAGAGCAACCACTTGTGCAGACAGTTACACAAGAAACTGTCTTGGTGTCAAGATCATGTATGTCACCTCGTAATGGGAAGGCTAGTGGAGATCAAGTCGATTTTGATCAACTAGCACCAGAAGCTTGTCCACCCTCATTGCCACCCCTAGTCAATGGGTATGGTGGATGCAAACCACCTAAGGGACAGGAAGAGGTGCATGGAAGCCTACCACCTGACAAGTTGAAGATGAAGAGTCAGGCTGGGGGGCAAGTTGATGTTAAGAAAGGTGAACAAAATGGTGTGTCCAGCAGAACACCATATTTGTTTCCTAAATATGGCATGGGGGGCATATCTCCATTTCCATGCAGTGGGCAGCGGGGCATGTCATCAGACATGAAGGATGAAGTGAGTGGCAAGCCTAAGTGGGTGTTGGATACCCATGCCACCCATGATTTTCATAACTTTGACAGCGTGTCAAAGAGTGGACAAGGAGGCAAGGCCCCTTGTAGCATGCCACCCATGAACGGTCGACAACGGGGCATGTCGCCAACCACAAACAACAGATGGATAGACGTGCCCAAGAATCCACATGAAATCCAAGCCACACATGCATATGATAAGCATGTTAGTCTGGCTAAACCCGGACATGAGGGCATGTCACCCATCTTGAAGTATGAAGTAGGGGGCATGTGTTGGAAGACACAACAGCTCCAAGCCACCCATGGCTTTTATAAGTGTAAAACTATGGCTAAGTCTGGACAAGAGGGCATGCCACCAATCATCAACAGTGGACATGAGGTCAAGTCCAACAAGAAAAGACGTGGGAAAGCCAAAAAGAGTTCTCGTAGTGTTGAAAATTTAGCTAAGTATGGGCAAGGAGGCATGTCACCCACCATGAATAATGGAGTAGGCGGCATGTCCAAGAATCTAAAAGAATTTCAACCTACACATGCTTGTGATAAGTATGCAAGTTTAGCTAAGTGTGGACCGGGGGGCAAGTCCATGTCCATGAGTAGTAAGTACATGCCATCAATCATGAATGATGGACATAGGGGCATGCATAAGAAGGTATCATACCCACAAACCAGACATGGCCTCACAAAGAACCAAGGATGGTCGTGTGCTAAGGGTAGGAGCCAACAAGGTTTGGAGGTTGAAAGACAAAGTCAAGTGGGCCACATGGGTGGTCGACAACTTTTCAAGACTGGACATCATCTCCAACAACATGAGGAGAGTAAGCATGTCTCAACCATGAGGAAACCAAGGCAGAGGAAAACCCATGGTCGTCTTAACATGTCAAGTGATGTGGCTAAAGCATATGAGCATGAGACCCCATGCAAGGCCACCAAGGCTAGACATGCTGATCATATACCACCCATTGGTAAGCTAGAAAATTCAAAATTAATGTATGGAGAATCATGTTCCATGGAGGAAAAGAGGCATGTGGTATATGGATGGCTTGCATGTTTTAATCCATGGACTTGGCAGTGGGTGTACACCTTTGGCGCATTAGTTGTTGCCAGAGGCAATGGAGAACAGTGAAGTTTGTCACTCGTTATCTTAAATAAATAAATATCATATATATTATTAAATAAATAAAAGCCAATCATGGCTATATAAGAAAAAATAGAGAGAAAATAACAAAGTGGAAATTTTGAGTCGAAGTCATTAGACTTTGATGTGAAGATCTTACCACCAAGTCGTAGTGATGGCTTGGCATACCGAGTCGTAGATTGCGTCTTGCCATGCTATGTCGTCTTGTCCCAAGTGGCCACTAGTTTGGATGTTCGCCACGACCTAAGGGCATCGTGGGTTGGAGATGAGTGATGGCCAGCTTGAGCATGTAAAATAAGAAAAGTGTAGGGGCCTCACTGAATTGTTGACGAAAAGCCAACAAGGCAAGGGTTTCTCGTGGCTACACATGAACGAAGACAACATAGGCAGCATAGCTAGCCACTTGAAAGACGTAGCTACCATGGTGTTGTTTTAGAGGAAAAATTTTCAAGTTTTATTGAACCTGTGGTCATGGGTAAGTATAGACAAGTCTTGTTACTCGAGGACCAGTTAGAGAAGGGATATAAGTGGTCAAGTTGGTCTCAACTACTTAGTCCATAATCCTTATGCACTAAGTAGTTGGGGGGCATTTGTTTACACCATAAAATTTGTCTTGTACCACATTGGTGAGTTACAAGATAATCAAGGAGTTTATAAGGCCACACTCATTATAACAATTAATGTTGTTTAAATTGGGCCTTATGGATATTGATTTTAAACCCAAGTCACTAGCTCATTAATGAGCATGGACATGATTCAATAAGGGACATGGGCCTCTCGTAAGAGGCCATGCCATGCCACGAGATGGCATGAAAATTTCTAAGTATGAGAAGTCCATGGCCATGAATATAGAGGCCATGCCGCCTCATAACCAAGACCAAACGACACAAAAACATGTCCTTCTAGAATTTAGAAGCACATGCCATCTCAAGGAAGACCTCGATACGGTCAAAAATATTCTAAGTCTCGAGAAGGGCATGCCAATTCACGAAGAGGCCATGCCGCCCCATGACCAATGCCTAATGACTGAAAAATAAACTAAGTCTGGAAGAGGTACATGCCACTTCAAGGAGAAGCACGTGCCGCTTCATGAGAAGGGGCATGGATACAAGATGAGACGTCCATGCCACTTCACGAGAAGGGCATGGACGCAAGAAAAGATACTAAGTATGAGAGGGCCATGCTGTGTCACGAGAAGGGCCACAGACATGACTGAGAAGTCCATGGCCGCGAATGAGGAGGCCATGTCGCCTCATGATCCAAAATATACTAAGTCTGAGAAGGTCATGCCGCCTCACGAGAAGGGTCATGTGCATGATTAAGAGGTCCATGGCCGTGTCATGTGATGGCCATGGACGCGAAGCAAGAAGCGTTATAAATTATTGAAAATACTAAGTATGGAAAGGCCATGCCGCCTCATGAGAGGGGCCTTGTGCATGATTGAGAAGTCCATGCCACTTCACAAGAGTGGCCATGGACACGAATGAGAAGGGCGTGGTGGTGGAGCACTATATCAATAATGACTAAGTCCCAAGTGGGCCATGGACATGGGTAAGAAGTCAATGGCCATGAGACAAGAGAACCATGACCCCCTTTGCGAGATACTACATGCTCGTCAAAAGACTAGCATGGCACGAGATTCAGAACAAGACCAGGCGAGGCAAGCTACACTCCAAACCCACGACGGTTCCAAGAGAGGCACCTAGGCGGTTGAAGGAGTAACCACCACTCCGAGGAAGCAGGGAGCAGTTCTTTTTGGGAGTTATCCAAGAGGCGGTTTTCTACCGAAGAAGGAGGAGCGGTTCTTTGTAGCAGTTATCCAACAAGCGGTTTTCTATGGCATTTACCTCCTCGGGGCTATAAATAAGAAGAGGGGTCGACAGAGACAGACGTTCCAAAAACGAACACTCTGACACACATGTCAAGTTTATCCTTTACCTTTTCTCTATCATGTAGCCATAGATGTAGTTCGTAGTTTGGAGCTCTCGCCGAACCTCCATAGGAGTAGAAGTAATTTAATTTAGATCTCGTTCCCAAAAATCATCAATCAAACACCCTCGTTCGAACTTTGTTTGAAGAGGTGTGAGCCGTGTCTTAGAAATCGTTGTCCATAGAAGTCAAAGGTGCAATCCATCTCAATTCAACAAGAGTTTTCTCGCCGGGAAACAGGTCCTTGTCACAGAAATTAGAAATGATGAACTTGCATACTTAATTGTTAACTATTGGTGTCAAGACCACTTTGAATCACCCTGATTTGTCAAGGAGGCAAATGGGAAAATAACAAAACCTAAAGAGCATAATGTTCGATATTCCATAATCTTAATCTGCACTTACTTCACAATCATAGTTGATAGTTGATTACGGAGTAAGAGACATTCGACCAAGGTAATTGAAAAATAATAAACATGAAACAAGTGTAAGGGGTCGTTTGCTTCATGGATTTGGATCATGGATTTGGTACCCAAATCCAATCCATCATGGATTTAACAAAAATCCATTGTTTGCTTGCACTTTTTTTGAAGACCATATTCGTGGGGCCCACAGATTTTAAGGCTCCAAATCCGTGGACCCCACGGACTTATAAATCCCACATGTTGATGTGGGATTTGGAACATGACATAAATCCTTGATGAAATTTTATCTATACTAGCTTTATACCCGCCCGTTGGGCGGCAAATTTTGATTGGTTATTATATTTTTCATCCTAGTATTATAATTTTATTTATGATTCATTATGTGAAACTATTATACATTGAATTGTTAATCTCACTTACCAAATTTCATATATTGTTTCACATTTTTATATCTTTCATTTATTTATGAAAATTTAATTTTATTAAATGAGCTATCTATAGTACTTTCTTTATTGATTTATAATTATGAATCGAATCCACCATTTAAGATATAAATTAAGAGATTATTAATTTTTTAGCACACAGATTGACAAAGAAGTTAATATTTTGAAGGACACAAAAGAAGAAGTTAAAATTTGCAAATATATTTCAATTGATAAAAAAAAGTGAAGCGTTTTCATTTTCTCACCCATCTTCTCGTACGTTGGTATATGATAATAGAGAATATCGCGATCTAGATCCCACAAGTATCGTGCAATATCAGTTACTCGTGTAATTTTGGAAGAATGAGAAACCACATTGGCATCCACATCATCAATCTTCCGCTTATTCGTTTAATTTACCTTGAAAATATTCTAGCAAACCCAACCACAAATAAAACTATTTTTTGTCACTATGTTTTCAGTAAACTAAACTACATATAATCATAATTTATATTTTGTAGAGAGCTACATACCCCCTACCAAAAGGATCATGTTTTTCTACCTAATAACAACATAGATGAATAGTAAAAGTTGTATACTTCAATAAAACTCAAGTCATTATATCTTGCAGAGTCCCCATTGTGAATCGGATTGATGCATCAATCTAAATAATAGTTGTTATGAAAACAATCAAGCCAAAATCAAGCTTTAGTTAGGGATTCAATTAGGCAAAATTCACGCTAAGGAAACAAACCAATGTCATTACAAACGTCTAGAAATTGGGGAAAATATCAACATTTACTACCATTTTATTTCTTCTTCGTGCCCTTTATAAAACCCCAAATATGTTCCCTCCTACTTATAACCCCATGCTACATACTATTTACTTGACCAAATCATCGTCATATAGCTAGCTAGTATCATGTCACTCATGAACATAATAAACATAATAAACAACCATCACAACTCTGCTTTCCATTTTAACATCCAAGGAATCGAGTTGCAATGGGCCTCCAAGGAAAACGATCAATTATTCAACCAACGGAGAGATGCTCCAAGTCCAAGCAACAAACCCTTTGAATTGTATGTTACATGTTTACATCAAAGTATACAGGATAACAGAGAACGATAAAACAACTACCTGGATAACGAAGAAGAAATACAACCATTGAATTGAAAAGGGAAATTTACTAGTCAGTCGCCGTAATCTGGAAGAAATTATGAAAAGAATTGGAAGAAAACTATAACTCGGTCAGTCAACCGCTAGCATTCAGATATCTCCGAGGAAGAAAGATCAATTGCCCGCTGCGGATCAAAAGGGAAGAGGGAGAAATGATAGGTTGGACTTTTCTTCATCAATAGGCAAAAATATGTTAAAGTTGTTCAATTCTTTTCCAACAAATCATTGTATCATGTAACTCCCGTCTCCTATTCTCTTACAAAGAGGGGGAAACTCAATATGCCTTATCATTTCCTTTACTATATCTATATACAAAAAAGTAGAGAAGACAAATTCTAGAACTCAAAATTTAAGCAAATTAAATAAGAAGAGAGCTTTATTTGTTTTTGTGGCGCTTGATCTAGTTTCTTCATTATCAATGTTGTATTTTATTTTCAATATTGTATGGGAAAAGGAATAGGAACACACCAAAATGTTCCATTCATTTTTATTAACTTAATTTACTTTTTATTGATAATGATGATAATTTAAAGAGTAAGCAAAAAAGCACACTAATTAGACCTTGTCCAGCGTGAAAGGGTGAGAGCTAGCCATGTACTGATGTGGCATTAAATTAGTTTTAGATTCCTACAATATTAAGTAATGATTATTTATGATTTCTTGGAATTTTTTTTATAAAATGTAATAACTCATAGAAATATTGTGACATTTTACAAACACTTGAATTCTTGAATGTATTGTAGACACATCTATCAATATCAAAGAATATGTATAACGATTTTATTTTAATTTTTAACCCTAATTAATACCTTTGAACTCGGCTCATCGACTCAAATATGAAAACGAAATTTTGTGGCTAGGATAACTCGATCTAAATACAAATTGCTTACTGTTACAAATCAAAAGATTTCCATTTTGAGACTTCGATATTGAATTTTTTTTTGTTATTGCCAAAATTTGGTATGGAGTCACAGACTCACAACCATATAGCTGAGGTTGTTTGCTAAATGAATTTGGAGCTATCGTAAACTTTGTCCAACCATTGCTTGCTTCATGTATTTAGAGGCAACAAATATGTGGGTCTCATGTATTTTAAGGTTCCAAATTCATGGGCCCCACGGACTTGAAAATTTCACCTCTTTATATGGAAATTGATCATGGACTTGAAGTCTATTATTTATGACCAACCTACCCCTCATATTTCATTTCCCTTCTCATACCAATGAGGGTAATATATGTCATTTTCACTTCCAACATAAAAATATTATTAACCAAATGCATCATGAAATTTATGAAACGAAATATGGTATTTTCAAATCCATAATGAACCAAAAACTCTCATATATCCATGCTTTTACAAAATCCATGTTTTATTAAAACCTTCAGTTTCAAATCCATGAAGCAAACGACCCCAATGTTTTCTTACAATTGCCTTACTAAACTCATCATTATTAAAGATTCTTTATTTTAACACAATACCTCAATTTAGATTCTTGTAATTCCAAAAGTTTTTTGTTTAGATATCTCAATTAACACACTTATGTTTATATATTGCCTCAATCATCGAATTTAGATTTGTCTACCAAGACATCAACTATTAAATAAATTTTTTCAACCCTTATTTGATCAATGCTAAGGTTAGTGATTGATGAAACGTAATGTTTATTGTATATCCTCAACGAAGATTTTCTTAACCTTCACACGTGTTGTTATTTAAGTGATGTTGTGTCTCATCCGAGGTATGAAGTCAAAACTCGTCAAAAATCATATGTAAGTCATTTTGAAAACTTTGATGTAATAATGTTCGACAATAACTCCAAATCTGAAAAGAAATTACTTAGCATTCGACTTATGACCTCAATAGAGATTTGTTCAATTAATATGATCTAGAGTGAATATTTTAATATGAACCCTAGGAAAAATTATAAAGTATTGCACACCTAATTCCTCTTAATTTGAGAAAATGAATATATGTTTTCACTTAATCATGATGAATAAGAAGTTTTTTAAAGAAAGAACTATCATTGCTTAGTCAAGTTTATATTCAGACCTTTTGCTAAAAAAACACTTGTTTTATTTGATAGAAATATATATTAGAAATAATTCGACGAAAAAATACATTAGAAATAAGAGAGTTGTTAATACAAAAAATCTAAATTCATATTTTTCGTTTTCAAAGTCGATTGATAAAAATATTATTATATATGTGTGTACTTTTTTAATCATTTGTTTTCAATGATTCTATTGTAATATTTTGTTTAATTGATACAAATATTATTATATATGTGTAATTTTTAATCATTTTTTTCAATGTTTCTATTGTAATAATTTGTTTAATTGATACAAATATTATTATATATGTGCTGTTTTTTTTAATTTTTGTCAAAATGTAACTTATTATTAAGTTTTGGTGAAAATAAGTAGAAAATGTACTTGATAAGATTTAATCATATACTTTTTAGTTAAACAAATTCGATATAGTCACTCTCTATTTCCATCTTTATATTTTTTTAATTGACAAAAATATTATACTTTTGTGTGTTTGTTTACATTCTCATAAAAATATAATTTATTATTAATTTTTAGTAAAAATGAGTAGAAATATTAAAAGAAGAGAGAGATAGCTCCATAAATAGATCAAAAATGAATTTTTGTTTGCATTGTAATAATTTGTTTAATTGATACAAATATTATTATATATGTGCTCTTTTTTTTAATTTTTGTCAAAATGTAACTTATTATTAAGTTTTGGTGAAAATAAGTAGAAAATGTAGTTGATAAGATTTAATCATATACTTTTTAGTTAAACAAATTCGATATAGTCACTCTCTATTTCCATCTTTATATTTTTTTTTAATTGACAAAAATATTATACTTTTGTGTGTTTGTTTACATTCTCATAAAAATATAATTTATTATTAATTTTTAGTAAAAATGAGTAGAAATATTAAAAGAAGAGAGAGATAGCTCCATAAATAGATCAATAATGAATTTTTGTTTGCAAAAAAGTTGTCCACCTTGGCAACTTGTGAATTCTCCAAGTGCTTATGTGGCAAGAAGTTACTTTTGAATTGCCATAATATATAGTATAGATAGATAGATAGATATAGATATAGAAGATAGATAGAAGATAGATAGATAGATATAGATAGATAGATACCCTCATACACTTTTAATATTCCAAGGTTGTCCTCAAATTTAACTATTACACATTATAATTAATCAAGTAATTAACAATAAATGAATAATATAAACATTCAATTAATGTGCAAACATGAGTTAGATTTTTTATATCATTTCTTGTGTTCTAGTTTTCTTTGACCTTTTCATGGAACGTGTAATTCTTTGTTCTCCCGATTCTAATATATGTTGTTATATGCTACTTTTGAAAAGGAGGACAAAGAATTGGTAATTGATTATGTTATGTTAAAAGTTAAACAAAATTTTCTCGTTTATTATTGTCCATGTGGCAACATTATGCTTATTAGTATGTATTGTCCTTGTTTTGTGTACATATCATAAACATGTCAAACATATAGAAAAAGATAGTAAGGTAATTTTGAAGTTTTGTCCTTGTTTTGTGTACATATCGTAAACATGTCAAACATATATACAAGGATAATAATGTAATTTTGGACTTCAAGTAGTAAATCTCACACCTTAAAATCCAGATTAAAAACATCTCAACAAACAAAGGATTGTTACAAATCCATGATGCCTCAAATCCTTGATAAATCCTTGGATTTTTAAATTACAAAACCCTCGTTTATAAATCCATGAAGCAAACGACCCCTAAATTCATTTTCTCACATTTTTTTTTAACAAAAGGAACGTGGATCACCTTGTGAAGTACAAGAACTAGTAGTTTGGTTTGATGGCTCCCTCAGTCAAACGTAATCACGGTGGTAGTACAGGATTCGTGAGTTTCGGTTTCTCAAGGGAGGTAATCTTTGAGTTTGTGCAATAATATGAAGGTATACAAGCCTCTTTCTTAATGGAATTATCGGTTTGCGAGATGCTATGAACTGGTGTCTAACTCATTGTGTTTTTTTTGTTAAATTTCGTAGCGATTCTCAACTGGTCATTTGACGGGTGATGTCGAGCGAGCTTTCACATGATTTGGGAGGAGCCATCTTGGGAGATATTGACAGGGTGTAGTCTTCTTATTGTTTTGCTCTTCGTTGTTTCAATAGGGCTGACCATCTTACGACATAAAAATTAAAAAGTCTTCTTTTCAGGAGTTCGACTATTATTAGTCAACTATCCCGAAGAAAATGAGAATTATCACAACTATAACATGGTTTTCTTCCAAGCTTAAATTCTAGCATAAAAAAGTGGATGACCAATCAAACTCACAGTAGTATCACCAGAAAAAGATCATAGGAGTCTGATTTGAGTGATTTCTCTTCTGTAGCCAAATTCGGGTACCCGGGTCAACCGAATCAATCGGCTAGTCCGGTTCCAACATGACCTATTACAAATACGAAACAACGCGAACGTCTGCTGCTGCCTGCGAAGCGAAGGAACGAAACTAAGCTACCGACGACATGGGGAGCAGGCACAACGGCGGAGCTAGCGACCGCGCAGCCTTGGGCAATGGCGGAGCACCGCCGGTGGTTGACAAGGAAGTGGATTTCGCCAATTACTTCTGCACCTACGCCTTTCTCTACCACCAGAAAGACATGCTCTCCGATCGAGTTCGCATGAACGCTTACTACAACTCCATTTTCCGGAACAAACATCACTTCCATGGAAAAGTAACCTACTTTGCCCACCCATTTACTGTTACAGCTTTTCCTTAATTGCTAACCCATTGTGAACTCTGGAGTCCAAAGCTAGTCTCTTTGGGGTTGACTTCGTATGAGGGTTTTGGCTTTCTGATCTTTTAGTTGAACCATTCGTGTTTGTTCAAGCCTTCTTTGACTTGTGAGTGACTCAACATTGGCTGCAAACTAGTGGGAGCTTGAGAAATTTGGGCTTAACAAGTAAGGAGTTAGGGAGGGTTCAGGTTCATTATTGGTTTTAGGCGTGGGACTTCTCTGGTTCTGGGTTCTTTGAAGCTCGGGGTACTTGTTTGTTCTTATGAGATTGCGGTTAGCCTATGCTTGGGACCGATTGATAATGCTGCTAAATCTGTGATTGTAGACAGTTCTGGATGTTGGAACTGGCAGTGGCATTCTAGCAATTTGGTCAGCACAAGCAGGTGCAAAGAAGGTCTATGCAGTGGAAGCAACTAAGATGTCGGAGCATGCTCGTGCACTAGTGAAAACAAACAATGTCGAGGATGTGGTTGAAGTGATTGAGGGTTCTATGGAGGATGTTGTCCTGCCCGAGAAAGGTTTACATTTTGCTTTGGTTTTGTAGTTGATAGTTTGTTCTTTCATTGATCATTTTCTTATAGTTTAGATGTTTTCATTTCCCACGGTGATTTTGATCTTTGGACTTTTGACTGATGACAGTTGATGTAATTATCTCGGAGTGGATGGGTTACTTACTTCTGCGTGAGTCGATGTTTGACTCTGTAATTTGTGCTCGTGACCGCTGGCTGAAGCCTAATGGAGTCATGTAAGCAGCTCGTTGCCGAACTCCTAAATTGAGATAAACCAATATGCTTTGCTTTTTCTACTTTGAGGTTGAATGTCTTGGCTTGCTTCTGTTTTGCTGATGCTATCCCTTAATGTGGCAGGTACCCAAGCCATGCTCGGATATGGTTTGCACCTATCAGATCTGGATTGGTGGATAGGAAAGAGAATGATTTGGAAGACGTAATAGACGATTGGCATAATTTCGTTGAAGACACTAAGGATGCCTACGGGGTTGATATGGGTGTTTTGACTCAACCATTCACCGCAGAGCAGAGGAGATATTATCTTCAGGTTGGTTCAATAAGATCAATATTCTTGATAAGTTTCTTCAGCATTGCTAATACATGGGTCTGTAAAAGAGAACTTCGTACTTCTCTTTCCACTAATTTTGGTTGGTCAAAGAGTATGATATAGGTGAAAAAGAACCTTAAATGGAAAGTGATAGTGCGTTGTTGAGGCATACGAATTATTGAATTTATAGAGGCTAGAGCTGGTTGGCTCTTAGCCTGTCAGCTTGTTCAATCAAGGTTTCTTGATACTGAGACAATTTTGGTTTTGTTTTCTTTTCTTTTTCCCTCTTTCCAGTCATTACTTTTGTCTGTACGAACAAAAATGTGGCCTTCATTCTGCATGCAAAATTATTCTTGCTCTTTTAAATGTGCTCTATATCTGAAGGACCTGGTGTCAAAATTCCTGTAGACATCCTTGTGGCAAAACCTTCATCCTAATCAAATTATCGGGACAGCTGCTATTATCAAGGAGATTGATTGTTTAACCGCCTCGGTAAATGACATCAGTGAGGTCAGGGCCAGTTTTTCTTCACCGATCACCCTGGAAAATACAATCCTCTGTGGATTTGGTGGATGGTTTGACGTTCATTTTCGAGTAAGTCGAGAAACATATTTTCTAGTTTTAGTGGACAACACTTGTCTTTTCCATTCTGCAGAACATAATACTGTTTTCCTGTGGTACCAGGGAAGAAAGGATAACCCCGCACAGCAAGAAGTTGAGTTGACAACAGCTCCTAGTAAAGATGCCGGCACCCACTGGGGCCAGCAGGTATGTATTAATCCAGAATTACTCAACGCGGCGACTTTTTTCATTTGTTTCTTGATCGGTTACCTGTTGAATATATTGAGTTATTCTTCTAAACTGCCTTCCTTTGCTGATTGGATTAGGTTTTCCTCACACACCCTCCTAGTTGTGTAACTGAAGGCGATAGCGTCAGCGTAGAATTCCTAATGTATCGGTCAAAGGAAAATCACAGATTAATGGAGGTAGAGCTCAGCTGTGGAGTCATGCAGTCTTCTGGCAATCTGCTTCCACCATTTAAAAGTAAATTCCACATAGAGTGATCAAGCAACAGGGTGTCCGTTTCCAGCATCAGTAAGGTATGCAATAATTTTGATTGGTTTGTTTCTTGGAGCTCCATCTCAATTTTGTATCTGTGTATTTGATAGACTAGCTTTCACCTTCTTCAACCGTTTCCCCCTCCATTTGTTTTAACGACTTCACAGTTTTTTCCCGATTCTTGCTTGCTCTTGTCTTATAATTTCGTTTCGTTTCCTTTACTTTTCAGTGTGTTGATGTGCAAGGACAGATATATCCTGAAGACCCGGGATATGAATGTAACTGTAAAATTTCAAAACAGAGCTTGGTTTGTTTCTGTAGAACATATTCTTGACTGCCATATGTGCATTTTAGGTGCTCTGATTCCTGGTTGAGATATTCTGAACTCCCCCAGATTTGGTATGGTGGTGGTCTCTGTACTCTGTTGTACACTGACATCCAAAGATGGGATTATGGTTGTTAGGCTGTTTACTGAGTAGACATCTATTTAACCTTACCACCATATCCAGTGCAGCTTCAGGGCATTTCTAAATTGATATTTACACTTGCATTTAGTCCTAATAGTTGAGATCTTCATATTTCCATGTTTCTTTATTCCCAAGTCAACTTCAAATTTTGCAGAACGCAATATTGTGCATTTTGCATATGTGGGCGATGGGTTTTGACTTTCATATATGTGGAAGAAGTATGATATCTTGTTTGTGGCAAAACTTCTCCCGCCTTTCTAGAGCTTATGCACATGCATGGCTTTAACTACTCTGCAAGTTAAGCTGGTTGTTCACCAAAAACCGCTATAAAATAATGCATCTTCAGTTCTTTGGATCTCATTATCTTCTCTGAATTGGTTAGAAACATTCTACACAGGCTACAGCTTTCTATTCCCCTTCACCTTCCTGCGTTTTCTCTGTTGTGGAAAAAATGTATCGATCTGCAAGCACGTTCCGTTCCTCATCTGAAGAGCACCTCCTCAACTTGTTGCCTGCTCTGGCAGCAAATGGTTCTTCGCCTTTGAAAACATTGGCGGGGTCTCCGTCGGAGTTGCCGGTGGCCTATTCCCCTGTTTCTGAGGGGAGCAGGAAGGAACTTGGGGCTCTGCAACAGCACAAACCGCTGGGTGGGGAAAATGGTGTTCATCTGATCCCTGTCGTTCTATTCCTATGTGGGTTGGCTCTCTGGCTTTTCTGTCCCCGTTGATGGAGAAGTCGTCAGGCGTCAGCCCGTCTTCTAAAGCAAGCTGCCGTGGGTTCTCTGTACTATGTACCTGCTGGTTTTCAGGGTTTTGTTTCTCTTTGTCGTTCGATTGTAAGTAGTTTTACCATTTCGAATGGATGAATGAATGTACTGCTATTGTCTATCTACAATATACTATAAGGCAATGTCAAAATAAACAACTTGCTACGTAACGTCAGCCTTTCTTGAACAAGCCGCACATTGCGCAAGGAGTTTATCGTACATTTCTTAATCCCTTTCTTCTTCCTCGTTTGTCTTCCAATCTCCTCTCTGAAATCGAACAACTTGTCTGATCTTGCCGTCCCAACCACAAACCAACCCATCCTGCGATTCTTCGTCCTGCAACTGTAAGTTTCTATTAAGTGAGTATCTTCTTAATTTGGCTTTGCGAAGTCTATTAATGAGATTCTCCATCTCTTTTCCCCCTATGTTTTTGCTTTCATAATGGGCATGTGATCCGATTGACTTCTAATTCCTGTCATCAATTCTGTTCAAAGTGGCCTCCTGTTGTTCTATGCTCTTTGCTTTTCTCAATATTTATTTTTCCTTGTCACCTCTTGCAACGCTCTTTATTTTGGTGTTAAACTTTTGCAGTATTGATTCAGAAGAATCGCCTTGGTGATACTTCTTCTACCCAAAAGAATCTGCCTGTAACATGTTCATTCTATTCTCAGATTCATATTTTCCTATTGTATGTAATGAATGTTTTCAACCTCATTGTTGGTGAATTTTTGTGTGTTCCATTTTATCTTTGTTAAGGGATATATGTTTTTCATTGATTTTAAGTACATATCAATTGTTCTCAATTCTGATGCTTCTTAATCTTAGTTATTGACAAGTTGAAAACCCGCCTCGCCTGTCTAGAGGCCCATCTTGCAAATTTAGCTCGGAGGAGAAGAAAATTCCTTTTGGTAGTTTGACGGATTTATATAGTTTGTGCTCTTTCACTCCCAAGTATGTCTCTCTCTCTGCATTTCCTCTCAGATGCTTTTGATCTTTATTGAACACTTTATTTCTAAACCGCTCAAGTAGTGCAGTATGTGATTTTGAAAAGCATGTTTGAGAGGGCTAAGATAAAGTCAAAGGATTACAATGGATAATGAGAGTTTTTTTTGAAAGAAAACTGTATTCATTAATTAAATCAAAGCATTGGAGTTTCCTCCCATATCCTCTCTAAGAAGAGGTACAAGAAAATGAGGTGGGTTGTCAATCCACACCTCCTCTCCCTCCAAGTTACAATCAACATGGGCCATGAAATGGACTGGTTTATTCTTTTGTCGGCCCACAAAGTTCCATTGAACATGATTCAGTGACTGGGCTTTGGCCCGGATCTCCGCACAGAGCAACCCGATCTCGGTCTCTCTGTCTTCTTCTCTTCTCAGCTGGCAATGCAGTCAAAAGCGCGATTCTACCTAGAATCAGTTGAGCGACCTGGAAGCGTAAAATCGTAAGCTTTTAAGCTTTAAAGCGTAGATTTTGACTACTTTTGCAAAGGAAAATCACGATTCTACGTAGAAGCGTTTTGGTGACCTAAAAAGGTAAAAGCGTAAGTTTTTAAGTTTTAAAGCGCGATTTTGACTGCATTGTCAGCTGGTAAACGACCCCCTGGCAATCCGATTCCATTTCCATTTCCAGCAGCTCAAACCTCCGTGCCAAATCAAGGCCAAAGTCGATGGCCATGGCTTCCGCTTCCTCGGGATTCCATTGAATTCGCAATCTCCGAACTCCAGCAAGCAAAAACCTTTCCCGCTATCTTTGATAACCACTCCCCAACCCGTTCCTCGATCCGCGATGCAAGCCGCGTCGACATTAACTTTCACAAGAGCTGTCGATGGTGGCTGGTGAAAGAGATTGAAGATTTTGGTGATTGTTAAACGATATCGAGTTGATTCTCATTGATAGTTCAATTCACTGATATACAGATTTTGGGAGAGAAAGTAGGTGCACGTAGCAACAGCCTGCTAGGCACTTCCCACAAAGATAGGAACAGAAGATGGGAGTGGGAAAAACAAATAAAAGAATAAAAATTAAATGAAGAATCATTTATCTCTAATACGCCCCCGCAAGATGGAGGATGTATCAACGACGCCAATCTTGGATCGCATAAGAAGAAAACGTGTGGAGGGCGGTGGTTTGGTGAGAGCATCCGCAAGTTGATGGGTAGTCGGAATGTAAGAGACATGAAGCCGGCCAGCCTGAACAAGCCGACGAACGAAGTGGTAGTCAAGAGTGAGATGCTTCATACGAGAGTGAAACACATGATTGGAGCTGAAATAGGTGGCGCTTAAATTGTCGGAATAGAGAGTAGGAGCAGTGGCCAGCGGGTGGTGAAGCTCATGAAGAAGGTTCTGGACCCACTCCAACTCAGCAGCTGCATTAGCAATGGCACGACACTCAGCCTACGTACTGATACGCCCCTGGGGGTGTATGTTATCAAAGTAACACAGCAATCGACTCAATCGAAGAATCGATTGAGCTCGAATCAAGAACGAAGCGCTCTTAATACGAACTTGGGATAAAACGGAACCAACGGACAATTCCACACCTGGGGAAAGCTCGTATGGTATAAAAGGGTAGCTACTCGACCATGATTGAAGAGAATATTCAATCGATACAAAGCTCACAAGCTTGGAATCCACCAAACTCAAACAAGTCACAACTTGCACAAAACCAAAAGGTTTGTTTTTCGATTAATCAAAGTCATATGTTTTTACAACGTAAATAGAACGGTAGTTAAAGGCAAATAAAACCTAATAAAATCCTAATAGAACTAGGTAACAATTAAGGTAAAAGTCTACACTAAAATGGACACAAAATTCGGGTTTAAACTCCCTTTCTTGAAGCACAAGTAAGCTGCCCGCAAAACAGTCAAAAGGCAGCTTTTTTACTAACTTCGTGCCTTTTGTTCGAGGCCTTCCAGAACTCCAATCCTTCATCCAATTCCTTCCGTCTGTACATAAACATACCTAGTTTCATTTTGTGGAAGCCTTTAGACTTGAATCAGATCCATACTCCTCGAATTGAGCTCCAAAGTTGGCTTCACTAAACAGTTTTCTGCCTTAGCCATTTTCTGGCAGTTTTCCAGTTTTGAGGTAGCAACTTTGAGGCCTTGGAAAACAACCTTAATGACATCTTCTGGATCCAAAAAGCATACCATTAGAAACATGGAAACTTTATCTGCAAAACAAACCCTTGACCTCCAACTTCCATTGAGCCATTTGTGAGATACAAGCTTCCAAAGCAGGCTACCTGAAACTGTTTCAACACTTGGCCAAAAATCAGAATTCTTCATGTGAGTTGAGATGACTTCTTTGGCAAGTAATTTTGAATTGTTGATTGATCCAATTGGGATCATATCACGTACTTGAGCGAGCTACCATACGCTGTTTCTGAGAGCGTCAGGAAATGAGGGTGGAGCCAAGATAAACAAGATAGCCGGAGGTGGAAGTGAGATCATCAAGATTGCCGGCCCAGTCAACATCGACAAAGGCAGATAAAGACAGAGCACCAGGGGAGCGGCGAATCGAAAGACCATAGTGAAGAGTACCAGAAGCATAGCAAAGAAGCCGTTTAACACTCTGCCAATGATGCGTCGTCGGAGCATGCATATACTGAGACAGCTTGTTGACAGAGAAAGCAATGTCGGGCCGCGTATAAGCCAGATATTGGAGGGCACCCAGGACATGACGAAAGCGGGTAGCATCCATGGAAGGACTACCATCGTTGAGAGTAAGAGAGGTGGACGCAGCAAGAGGTGTGTCAGCAGGCTTTGCATTAGTCATTAGAAAATGACGGAGTACGTCAACCATGTACTTATGTTTGAGCGAAAATCGGGAAGAGAGAGCCTGCTCAAACGCGGCCAGAGAGCTGGGGTCGTTACCGGTGAGCAATAAATCGTCAACATAGACCAAAAACTAGAGCAGAACCGTCCCACGAGAGTAGACAAAGAGAGAAGCATAAGAATGAGTCTACGTAAAGCCGTACCCAAGAAGAAAGTCACTCAAGGCAGTATACCAAGCACGAGGGGCCTGACGTAGACCATATATAGCCTGTCGAAGACGACAAACGTGATGAGGTTTTGAGGGATCCACAAACCCAGGAGGTTGGACCATGTAGACCTCGTCCTGTAAAGGACCCTGTAAAAAAGCGTTGTTACCATCAAACTGAGCAATAGGCCAAGATTGAGAGAGAGCCAGGGTGAAAACTGTGCGAACAGTGACAGGCTTGACAACGGGACTGAAAGTATCAGTGAAGTCAAGGCCAGGGCGTTGATGATAACCCTTGGCAACCAAGCGCGTCTTAATCCGAGAAATAGAGCCATCCGGATGATGCTTGACACGGTAAACCCATCGGTTACCAAGAACATGATAATGAGGAAGACGGGGTACCAAGTCCCATGTAGAATTGGCCAGGAGAGCTGCATGTTTGGTGTGAAGAGCTTCATTCCACTCTGGATATTGCATGGCTTCAGCAACATAAGAGGGCTCAAGGGGCGGGGGCCCACGCGACAGTGTAGTGAGAAACAACCGCTTCTTTGGCCTAAAAATCCCACTTTGAGCCCGAGTCTGCATTATGTGGGAGCGGACCGGAGGAGGAGGAGGCCCAGAGAGAGCGGCCGGCCCAGAGGGAGGGGTGACAGGAGGCGAGGCGGGCCCTGGCGTGGCGGCAAGGGAGATGGGCCCAGGCAGGGCAATAGGGGCAGCAGGCCCAAGTGAGGCAGCAGGAACCACATGCCCAATAAAAGATGATCCACGCATAGGAGGGGCCCCCGAGGGTGGGTTGATGGACTGAACAGGACCAGAGTCGCCAGTGGAAGCCACGCGAAATGGAGCAGAAGGCCGAAGTGGAAGAGTGGTGATAGTGGGAGAGGTGTCTAGGAGCCAAGATTCGGCCAAATGAGCCTCTGTAGGAACAGTGGTAAAACTTGGAAATTGAGACTCAACAAAGACAACATGACGGGATAGAAAGAGACGGTGTGTGTTAGGATCAAAACATCGGTAGGCACTGCGTTGGGGGCAATAACCAAGAAAGAGACACGACCTAGAACGCGGGTCGAGTTTGTGAGAGGAGTATGGTCGGAGCCATGGATAACATAGACATCCAAACACGCGAAGTTTGTGATAATTAGGAGAAAGATTGAAAAGAAGAGTGTAAGGAATTTTACCATGGAGCGCGGAGGAGGGAAGACGATTAATGAGATAGATGGAAGTGGAAAAAGCGAATGACCAAAAGGAGGTGGGTAGTTTGGCATGATGGAGGAGCGTGATACCAGTTTCGACCAAATGACGATGTTTTCGTTCAGCAAGCCCATTATATTCAGGTGTGTGGGGTGGTGTATGCAGATGAGTGATGCCATGATTAAGAAGCTCAGTACGCAATTTTATGAATTCACCACCACCATCTGTATAAAGATGACAAATAGTAGTGGAGAAATAATTTTCAACCATCTTCCTAAAATCAAGAAAGACTTCAAGAACATCAGATTTCTTGCGTAAAGGATAATACCAAGTGTAGTGAGTAAAATGATCAATAATAATCAAATAGTAATGAAAACCATCAATAGAAAAAACTGGAGCAGGCCCCCAAACATCCGTGTACAAAAGATCAAACGGACGAGTACTAGTTAAAGAGGAAACGGAAAATGGTAGTTTGTGACATTTATTGGAAAGACACGCATCACGAGGTAAACTAACAAGTAATGAAGAAACGGGAAGGGAATATGACCGAAGAAGACTGATGAGTGATGACTGTGAGGGATGGCCATGACGAGTGTGCCAAGAAGTGGCGGAAGTGCGAGTGGTAACTAAGGCCATGCGAACATTATCCATTTCCCCAGGCAACTCATAGACGTCACCGTTGTTTTCCCCCCTCAGCAGCTGCGCCCCTGTGCGAAGATCCTCACAAGAAAATGAGTGGCAAAAAATTCCACCGATATAGGATTAGTTTGACAGAGTTTGGCAACCGAAATAAGACGCTTTTTGATACTTGGAACACACAAAATATCACGTAAATGAAATTGTGTAGACCCAAGAGGAACAGTGGAAGAACCAATGTGTGTAATTGCCAAACCTGAACCATCACCAACAAGGATCTCGTCGGGCCCAGTATAATCAGAATAAAGTGAAAGATTTCCCAAATCTGGAGTAACGTGGTGAGAGGCGGCAGAGTCCATTAACCAGGGCCCAGCAGAGGATGAAGAGCCCACATGTGTTGTATTTATTTGTCCTTGGCGGGCCTGTTGGAAGGCCTGACGGGCCTGGGGAAACAATTTAAAACATTGTCGGACCGAATGTCCAGGCCTCTCACAGAATTGACAAACCACCGTGGGCTTGCGAGGACGGGTCTTCTCAGTTGATGATGGGCCCAAAATAGACTGACGGCCATGTTGTGGAGAGGAACTGGGCTCAAGGGAATACCCTTGCTGCTGTCGCTAGGACGAACTGGGAGAATGGGAGCCGCCGCCGCTGCCGATAGATGAACGACGAGAGGGACCCTGAGAATAATAAACAATGGGTACTGCAACAATCCTTGATTGTTCCTTCAGATCCGCCTCATATTCCACGAGAGAATCGAGCAAGTCTTCAATAGAGACAGTTGTCCCACGAGCTCGTACAACTGCTGAGAAGTGATTATACTCCTGGCCAAGCCCTCGAAGGCAATGAACTACCAGACTGAGATCAGAGACCGAGTCGTCTACAAGAGTAAGCTCAGCAGCTATTTGTTTCAAATCATTCACATACGTCAAGACATCGCGATCGCCACAGATCGTGCGAGCCAATTTTCCCTTAAGATTGATGATGCGAGACCCAGACCTCCCAACATACAGTTACTCAAGAGTAAGCCAAGCATACCGAGAAGTAGCAGCAGTCGAGACGAACGAGTAAAGGTTCAGATATTGAACAGCGAAGGGCATGTAAGATGAGCTTATCTTGACGAAACCAGCGCTGATAAAGTGGATTGGCACCAGTGGTGTCATTGACAGTGATCGTGCGGGCAGGGACGACACCGGTGCCGTCGATGAAACTGATCAAGTCGAGAACCATGAGAAGCATCTCCAACTGTGATCGCCATGAGCTGAAATTGGTGGAAGTTAACTTCAGAGGTAGTTGTGCTGCTGGATTAAAAGTGATGATGAGTTCTTCGGCCGATGTAGAACCATCAGAGACAGTGGATCCTGACATATTGAATATCCAGAAAAATAGAGAGATAGCCGAAAACAGAGGGTAGCAGGTGAAGAAAGATAACCGAAACTGTGTGAGGAAAGGAAAAGAATTAGAGCTGGATCAACAAGTTGAACTTTACTTGCTCTGATACCATGAAAGAGATTGAAGATTTTGGTGATTGTGAAAAGATATCGAGTTGATTCTCATTGATAGTTCAGTTCACTGATAAACAGATTTTGGGAAAGAAAGTAGGTGCACGTAGCAACAACCTTCTAGGCACTTCCCACAAAGATAGGAACAAAAGATGGGAGTGGGAAAAACAAATAAAAGAATAAAAATTAAATGAAGAATCATTTTTCTCTAATAGCTGCCACTTCTGCTCATCATTTCTAGCCGGCGAATGCGGGGTCAACTGTTTGTCCAGATAATCCTGCAACCAATTTCATGCCCTAGGTAGAATTTCCCACTCTTCTAACTTCTTCTTGTTCCACAGATGACAGTTTCATTGGTCCCAGATATACCACAGCGCCACCAGGAACTCTCCCAGCAGCTCATCAGATTCCGTCTCCTGGAGTTCGCAATACCACTCTTATGAGGTAAGATCTTCCCCTTTCACTATGTATGAATCCATAGGGCTAGCTCTCAACACCCTGCGAACCCAATCATAATCACGAAAAATATGCTCCTATGTTTCCCTCAAATTGCAAAAAGGGCAATTTTCACTGCCCTTTTGCATTCGATCATAGATACGGGCTCCTGTAGGAATTATATTTATCAACCATCGCCAGGCAAAGATTCTGACTTTTGGGGATTCCGTAGGTTCCAGAGCCTTTTCCAATTCACCGGTGTATAGACTTCTCCAACCACATCCACATTCCTTTCTTCCCAAAGCGTGTATGCTGACTTTACAATGTATTTCCCTGATTTCTCCACTCCCCATATCAGCTTATCTTCAGCAGGTTGCCTGGGAATAGGGATTTTCTGTATATTAACACGATCCATGGGGTTGAAGAATCTCTGGAGCAAAATTGTACGCCAGCTCCTTGAGTCCAAATCAATCAGTTCAGCAACCGAGGTTGAGCCACTACAGTTTGCAACTGGGGATGTTACTCTTTGGGTTGTGCTAGAGGGCACCCATTTGTCAATCCAGATGTCTAGCTTGGTTCCATTTCCTACTCTCCACCTCATTCCACGTCTGACTAGCTCTTTTACAGTCATTAAGCCTCGCCAGATCCAACTAGGATTCCTACCAAGTTCTGCTTCCCGTGGATCTTTGTCCTCAAAATACTTTGGTTTCAACACCTTTGCCACTAGAGCATCAGGATTCTGAATAATACACCATAGTTGCTTTCCTAGGAGAGCTAGGTTGAAACTCTGAAGGTTTTAAAGCCCATACCCCCCAGTTTCTTTGGTTTACAAAGTTCTTGCCAGTTGAGCCAGTGTGTCTTCCCTTCCTCCTCCTGCTATCCCCACCAGAAATGAGCCACTGCTCGTTTTGTTTCTTTGAGGGTACTGAGTGGTATTTGGAAGACTGACATAGCATAAGTCATCCGAGCCTGTGCCACAACCTTAATTAATACTTCCTTCCCTACGACTGAAAGTAGTTTCCCTTTCCAAGCTTTAACTTTTGCTCTAACTCGATCTACTAAGTAGCCAAAAGTCTGCTTCTTTGATCGACCAATGATGGTGGGGAGGCCTAAATACTTTTGATGATGGTCCACCACCTTCATATTCAGCATGTCTGTTAGTTCTTTCCTTCTCCCTTGCCTCACATTAGGACTAAAGGATAGCTCAGATTTGTGGAGATTGACCTGTTGGCCAGATTCAGCTTCGTATAAGCTTAGGATAGCTTTCACTTTTTCACATTCTGACTTGATTGCCCTCATGAACAGAATGATGTCATCAGCAAACAAAAGATGGGAGATCTGTGGTGCATTCTTTCAAACACTTATCCCTTCAATCTGTCGTTCCCTCTCTGCTTTAGTTATTAGTGCTGACAGGCCTTCCACCACAAACAAGAAGAGATAGGCGGATATAGGATCACCCTGCCTTAGCCCCCTGCTAGGATAGAAGCTCTCTGTTTGGTGTCCATTCACCAACGTAGAAAAGGAAACTGTCGTGACACAGGTCATAATCATCTGCACCCATCGAGGATGAAACCCCAACTTTAGCATAATTGCCTCCAAAAAATCCCACTCAACTCTGTCGTAGGATTTAGTAATGTCTAACTTGGCAGCCATAAACCCTTTGTTTCCAGAGCTTTTGGCTTTCATTGAGTGAAAACACTCGAAAGCTATCATGACATTGTCAGTAATTAGCCTTCCTAGTACAAACACGCTCTGGTTTGGAACTATCACCTTATTCAGTACTCCTTTGAGCCTATTAGCAAGTACTTTAGATAGAATTTTGTATAGTATCTTGAATAGACTGATAGGATGGAAATCCATAGGGTTTTGGGGGCTTTTCTTCTTCGGTATTAGAGCTATAATAGTATGGTTCAGCTCTTGTGGGAAACTACCCACTTCCAGATATCCCTGTAACTCTGTAGTGATTGCCTCACCCATGATGTCCCAATTTTTTTTTTGAAAAAAGAGGGCAGACATACCATCATCTCCTGGATCTTTGAGAGGTCCCATAACCTTCAAAGCATCCCAAATTTCCTCACTTGTAAATGGTTTCAGTAGCTCATCATTCATAGCAGCTGTAACCTTCTGTGGGATTGCGTCTTTGACTGATCTGGAACCAGATCTCATATCAGAAGTGTATAACTTCTTGTAGAAGTTTACAATGCATCTTGCTATATCCTCCTGCTCTGTACAGACCCTTCCATCCTTGTCCCTCAGCTTTTTAATCATGTTCTTGGCTCTCCTATTCGAGGCTCGTCTGTGGAAAAAGTTAGTGTTCTTATCCCCATGCTTGAGCCAGTCATTCCTGGATCTTTGTTTCCAGATAATTTCTTCTTGAAGCAAAATATCTTCCGGTTCATTCTCAATCACTCGTCGTTGGCCAGTATTGCTTCATTCTTACTCATTTTGTCAATTTTCTCCAAAGCTTTTTCTTCTTTAATTCTTCGAGCTCTCAGACTACCAAAAGTCTGTTTGCTCCAGCTTCGCAGCCTTTCCTCATAGATTCTGATTCTCCCAACTACAGAGCTCTGACCAGCCACCTCCCAACCATCTTTAATAACCTGCTTACAGCCCTCATGATTCTGCCAGTAAGCTTCAAACTTAAAATAGTGACCCCACTTTACATCCTCCACTAATACATTTGTTTTCAGTAAAATGGGATTGTGGTCTGAACCATAGCGTCTGAGATGATACACCCCTGCATTAGGGTATAATTTCCTCCATGATTTTGTGGCCACCATCTTATCTAGGGATGGCAACAAAACCCAAACCCACGGGTACCCACCCGACCCAACCAGGTCAACGCGGGTAAAATCCGTCTTGACGGGTTTTGGGCCGGGTTTGGGTTTAAACCCGTTCACTATTCACCGGGTTGGGTTGGGTTTGGGTTTAGATAAACCCGACCCATGGGTACCCGCCTACACCCATATAATTAATTTTCTTGGTATATTTAAGGGTAAATACAATTTAATAGCCAAACCTTTCATTTTTAACAAAATAATAGCCAAACCTTTTTGAAAACAAATTATTATCCAAATCGTTAACTTTCCGTTTGGTCAACCGTGAGTTGACTCCGACGTGGAAAGAAACTGTACACGTCGGATAATTTTTTTCCAATTTTTTAAAATTTTCAGAGTTATTATCTTTTTTATAAGAGATGGGGAATTGATCGGGGGATTCATTTTTCCCCCTCCTTCGCCGCGCAATCTCTCCTCCTCCGCCCAGCCGCTCCCCGTCGAAGGAAACTCTCCCCGTTCTGACTCTCTCGCCCCTCCAAAAACTCTTCTTTCTCCGCCACTTATTCTTCTCCCTCGTCCCAGAACTCCACCCGAGGCTCCTGATTGCTGCCATCCCAGATCTGGTCGCGTCGTGGCGGCTTTATTGTCCACAACCCGGCGAGCTTCGGTGCATAAGATCCCCATGTCTACGAAGGACGGTTCATCCTCTTCTGCGAACACGAATCGAGATTCGAGACCTATATGCCACGATTGTCCATGTATCTTGCAGGTGTCGGGTACCGACAAGAATCCGGGAAGAAAGTTTTACTGTTGTCGATACTGGAAGGTAACACATTGTGTTTAGTTGGTGGCCTTTCGATTTATCTATTGTACATGTTTGAGGAGCTCTCCTTTGTAGGATTCAAAAGTAAAGTGCAAGTTTTTCGTGTGGGTTGATGAGTACGAACCCAAAATTTGGAAGGAATCCGAGGATGAGCTGAAGACCAAACTGATTGAAATGGAGGAGTGTTGTAGGATTGCTCGGATGAAGGCAGAAAGGAGGAAAAAGGCTAAAAATTTGCTTTTAGAAGAACTGATCAGTACCAAGGAGGAGCACGCAAGAACTACATCCGAGTTAAGGAAAATCAGCAACGTGGTTGATGTTCTTGAAAGCAGGATGAAGAATGTGATGATAATTGCTCTAGTTGTTATGCTTTGTGTTGTACTTCAGTGGTTTCAATGAGTGATTAATGTGTTCTGGACTTCAATTTGCAATAGAGTGCTGCTTGTTTTAAGTATGAAAATGATCTGTCCAAGAGTGCCTATCCTTTCCATAAACTGTGAACCTGTACAAAATGCAAAAGTAGGTAGAAGAGAGCCAATCAAACTACATTGGCTCAATTCACCACAAGCTCACATTCATCAGTCTGCTTCACATTTACATTAAGAAGCAGAAGAGTGCAATTCTAAACTTATAAGTGAGCTGTACAAAATGCAAAAGTTGGTAGAAGTGAGCCAAACTAACTAACTCGGCTCAATTCACCACAAGCTCAACATCATTTGCTCTACTTCTAAACTATAACTACTAAGTTCCCTACACTACTACTGAGGCTGAGTTGTTGGTCCCTGTGTCGCATCAATTTCAGTTGGTTGGGTACCTACAGCTTCTGCAGAACTACGAATTCCAGCATTCTCCGCCCTCGGAAACTGAAAAGTTACAGCCAAAAATATCAATTAGTTACAACAACTACTACTTATTACAGTGTAAGTAACACATTGGTAAAGCAAGACCAATTGGCACCATTCTCACATACATGGACATACTGGTTCCCGGTGTTCACGTTTGTATATATACCAATGCCACCTAGGGCAGCTCTGACGTCTCTGGAAACTTGGTTCGCATTCCAAACCTCAATGCTAGCATGCTATATATTTGTAACCAAAATTAATCAGATAGACAAGAAGACAGATTCATGCAAAAGGGATTATTTTGCAACAACACGGCTACTTACCTGAATTCCCATGTTCAGTGGACACTTCCTAGCATTATGTCCAGGCTGTTTACACTTTCCACAATGGATGGCCCTCTGTGGAATATACAATGGTGAAATATTGTTGAGCAGAGTATAGTGTTTATAATGGGGAGTAGTATGTAAAATCATACCTTTGGTTTGCTTGCTTCGTTTTGGGATTCCATTGGCTGCCCTCTCCCTCCTTCATTCGAACCACCTTGCTGCCCCCGTCCTCTCCCTCGTGTCCCTCTCCCTCGTGTCCCTCTCCCTCGTGTTCCCCTACCTTGGACGTTTTCCATAACTAGTTCACTTGGAACAAATGGTGGATTGGGACACTTCCTAGCATTATGTCCAGTCCCTCGACACTTACTGCAATGCATCACCATTCCTTCTCTCCCAATTGGCTGTCCAGAACCATTCTTATGCACTCGAACCTCGAGTTCAGCCGCCTCCTTTCTTCTTTTCTTCTTAGGACGCCCCGGCATTGCCTTCTGAATCGGCGGGTATACAGGATATCCTTCAGCACTAGGCCAAGTTTGTGGTCCACTCATACACGGCATTCCATGTGCATAAACCTTTCTAGCTGTGGTCACGAGGTAGCATTCATGCACATAATCTTCCACATTCAGCCTCATTAAGCCCATGGCCGATTGAGCATGGCAGCATGGGATCCCAGATAGTTGCCAAGCCCCGCAGGTACAATCACGGCTGCCCAAATCAACCACGAATCCTGCTGCCCCAATACGGACTTCAACTCTGTCATTGGTGCTAGCACGAGCAAGGCACTTTCTTGCCTTGACATCCTCTTCGGCTATGATGCTTCTTGCCTGTGGACATATCAAGTTCCGAAGCCTTTCATACTTTCGATGCATCTTCCTCATCCGAACCATCATGTAACCTCGAATGCCCTCTAGCATAACAATAATTCTCTGCTCCCTGTGCTTGAGTATTACATTATTCCAGCTCTCACAACTATTACTTTCAACAGAATCAGACTTCGGGACTCTAGATATAAATGCACGGCAGAATGTGTTTGGGTCCTGATCCATGAAGTCAGTGTATGGTTTTTCAGTGGTGGCAGCCTCTTTTTCGTATGCTTCCATCTCAGAAGTAACTTCTTTAAAATCAGCCTCATTGTAAGCATATACAGCCTTCCAGAATAAGTCCCGCATTCGATCATTCTTGTTCTTGGCCTTCCAGTTCGCATTCACATGACGGGAACACTTCCTATGCTCTGCATTAGGCATCACATCATGCATAGCCTCAACCAGCCCCTGTAAACCAACCATTCAGAAGACATCAACTCCAATATAAATCTCACAGTAGCAAACATTTTCAGAATTGAAAAGAACAACAAAATTGAATTAAAAGTTACCTTTTGTTGGTCGGAAACGATGCTCCATCCGCTTCCATCACCAAACATTAACTCTTCTTGGATTATGTTGAGAAACCACGTCCATGACTCTTTGTTCTCACCCTCTACCACAGCCCATGCGAATGGGAGAATGTGGTTATTCCCATCTTTCCCCACAGCAGTCAACAACATTCCTTTGACCTCGCCCTTCAAAAAACAACCATCTACTGAAAAAATCCTTCGACATCCAGCGAGGAATCCATTTTTCAGAACTGAAAACATCACCATGAACCGTCTGAAATACACCTTATCCGCTGTCCCGTCTGGAACAACGTCTAGAATGAATCGTCCCTCCGAATCTGCCCTCTTCAAAGCTGCCAGATAGCTTCTCAACTTGTGATACTCTTCGTCAAGGGTCCCATGTAACATTTCCCGTGCAATTACCTTAGCTCGGTAGCAAGTTCTTACCTCAACATCGACCCCCAATTCTGCCTTCACCTCTTCAGCAATATGGCAAGGCTCCCACTTTGGATTGACCCTGAGTCGCTCGAAATAATGTTGAGCAAGGAACCTTGCAGTCGCTAAGTTGACTCGTAGAGACCGAGAGCAAGTGTGAGGCGTACCTATCCGCCTAACCATGAAACTTGCACCATCTCCAAACCAGGCAGCATATACCCTCCAATCACAGGCCTCATCCTTGCATTTAAACTCCTTCCTACTTCCATCACTCCTTGTAGAAGCGACATTTGCCCCAACAGCAACAGAGTGCTTGTATATAGCATCTGTAAATTGATCAACAGTCAAGAACTTCAGCCCAACTTTGAAGAAGAATTCTCCATGATCACAATCGGGATCATAAACCGGCAAATCTGCATATCTTTCCTCAGGCTCTTCATTGAACACATTCGGCACCCTTGGATTGGTTTCTCTGGCAGCCTCATCAGCAGAATCAGCTGATCCTTCTTCCACGTTGAGGTAATCATCTTCAACACCACGAGGCTGCTCAACTTCATCCCCTGAATCAGAATCTGACATGGGACGGGGGGCTGAATTATTTGGCTCTGACATAAGAGAATCATCAGAGTCGGCAACATGGATCACTTTCCTCGCAATCGAGCCCTCACCAATATCTTCAGCATCCTTTGGCAAACCTTGAAACAAGTCTGGTTCCTCATTGTCTCCCACCAGTCCATCCTCCACCTCGACGGCCTCTACAAAAATTGACACATCCTTAGTACCGGCTGCATCGACTAGCAACCCTTCCATCACATCCTTATCGGAATGCAGTTCATGTAGACCATCCGCCATTGTAGCCCCCGGTGTTAAGTACCATATCTTTCGAACGGCAACATACTTCAAGTAACTTGTAGCCACATTCAAAAGCTCGAAGTAGCACACTTCATCAACATCCACCGCTATCTTCTCCGAAAAACCGCCAACATATCGTGGTACCGATCTCGAGAAATCCATAACCCCACCATGATGGTATAGAATATCCAAATACTCCGTCATCTGCGAAGAAGAAGCAAAAAGCTATGCGTGACTTTCCCAGGAAGATGACTGTTCATTCGCATTCAAAATTACAGTTCAATCCTATGATTCTGCTTTCATACCTTGTAATGCAGGGGCAATTTCGTGACTATTTCTTCAGTGGTCCCGCTGTGGTCCTCACAAACCAGATTCTGCCAAAATCGCACTATTATAAAAGAGGGCAATTTCAATCGAATGGGGATAAAGAACCTAGGTTTGAAAGCAAAATAAGGGAATGGGTACCTAAATCCGTCGTCTCCTTCAGAGCTCCGTCGTCTCGCTCCGTCGTCTCCTCGCCAGCGCTCCGACGCTTCGTTCGCCAAAATCCCCGGCCTGGGAATGCACGGCCGGGAGCAACGCTAGCCTTTTCCGGCTTTCACATGACGAGGGACGAAGCCGGCGCCGTTGATTTTGGTTCTGTGGTGGGCGATGGGTTTGGTTTCGCCGGAGTCGTTCAGGGCTTCTTCTTTGAGGGAGAAAATCGAACGGGGAGATTGGGTGGAAGAGAGTGAAGAGAGATGGAGTGATTAGATAATGCTTCTGAATTTCCCCTTTTCTTATTTCATTTTAATTAGGTGCCACAACAGAAAAAATGTGCCACGTGTACAGTTTCTTTCCACGTCGGAGTCAACTGACGGCTGACCAGACGGAGAGTTGACGATTTGGCTAATAAAATGTTTTCGAAAAGGTTTGGCTATTATTTTGTTTTAGGGTGAAAGGTTTGGCTATTAAATTGTTTTTACCCTATATTTAATATTCTAAACAACTAATCTTACTTATGTATGTGGAGACATGTCTATTTTTTTCTTTCTAATTGTGTAGAATGAAGTTGATGTTATCTAGTGAGAGTGAAGAAACTTAATTGAAAGGAAGAAGCTTTCAATTAATCATGTTATTTATGAATAATTTGTGATTTGCTTCAATTTTCTTGAGTTTTCTAGATTAGTGTTGAACAATTTGTATAGTTTATTTGTGATTTGCTTGAATTTTCTAGAATTGTGTTTTAAATATGGATAATTTGTAATGAGAGATTGATATTTGAATTTAATTTTGATAGAAACTTGTTATTGTAAATTTTTTTCGACAAAAACCCGTGGGTACCCATAAACCCGCGGATACCCAGCGGGTTGGGTTGGGTTTGAGTTTTTCAAACCCAGTGGGTTTTACCCCGGGTTTTTTCACGGATAAACCCATGGGTTTGGGTTTGGCAAAACCCGACCCAACCCGACCCATTGCCATACCTAATCTTATCCAATCTCTCCTCCAAGAATGTCTCATCTTTATGGGTATTATCCCACGTATAAGGTTTACCGTAGAAACCTAGATCTTCTAGTTGACAGTCCTCCAGAGCTCTATTAAAACCATCCATCTCATAACCACTTGCTGGTTGTTTACCTTTCTTTTCTGCACAATGTTGAATGAGGTTGAAATCCCCACAACACATCCATGGCACATCAGTTAGTGATTTTAGATACCGCAGTAAGCCCCAGGTCTGATGCTTCTTCCCCTTTTCAGACCAGCCATAAACTCCAGTTAACCGCCAGATATTTCCATCTTCTTCAATCTTCATATCAATGTAATTTGTATCACTTTCCTTAATTTCCACCTGAATATCATCCTGCCACAGAACTAGCAGGCCACCTGCTCTACGTTCTGATCCCACACCAAATCCCTTATACCACTGAAACTTAGTCACAACCTCCTGCCATTCATCCTCTTTCTTTTTGGTCTCCATGAGGAAGACCACTTTGGGGTTTACTCTTTGGATCAAACGATCCAGCCTTTTAATTGACAGGGGACTCCCCAAACCCCGACAATTAAAGCTCAGGTAACTCATTGAGCTGGGCGGGCCTGCTCTTTTGCAGGCTCCGCCACATCGCCATCCACAATTTTGTTGTTTTTGTTCCTAGTTCCTGGTCCTTCTGATCCAGAGAAGATCAACGCCCTTGCCTTCTTTGCAACCTCAGGTGTGTGTCCCGCCCCCTTTCCTCCTCTTCATGTGTTGCGCCCTGTCTTTTTTGGGGGGTACTTGGACTCCAATAATAGCTTTAGGATGCACATGTTCCTGCCTCCTCCAGACTCGAGCAGTGCTCTTCCCTGCCCTCTTCATCTCAACACTGTCCCATCACAAACTTTTGTAAAGCTCCATTGTACTTCTGCTCCTTTTGTTCTAGCTTGTGAGGGGCTTTCACGTTTTCTTATTTTTCTATAACAGGCTCTTGTGACTGTGCAGCTCTAGGAGCCTCTTGAACCTATATCTCCCCCTCTTTCTTTTTCTAGGTTGGTGTATCCTCCTCCATCTGTTTTGCTTCCTCCATTTCCAACGTCATGTCATGGTCAGAATTAGAACCAATACTCTCCATTTCAAATTTTTGTTTTAGGGAAGCCCACACCTCAGCATCCTCTTTATTGGCAGTATATGAGAGCCAATTCTTTGGTCCCTGAGCTGCCACTCGAAGCTCATAACCAAACGAACCTACCTCAGGCTTTGGCTCAACTTTGCATCTTAATTTAGGATGCCCAATTCTCCCACATGAGTAGCAGAACATAGGCAACTTTATATACTTTATTGGATATTCGACCAGTTGACCCGAAATGTTTAACTTAATCTTCTTCTTCAGGGGGTTATTGATCGACATGTACACTCTCAAGCGCATGTAGTCATCCCACATTGCTCCAGTGTCATTATCGAACCAGTCAAGCCCTCCAAATCTCATGGAAATTTTCTCAACCATCTTCTGAGTTCGCAATTCAGCTGGTAAGCCCTCGACCCGTATCCATAGATCAATCATATGTAAATATGTCGGTTTAGGCTTTTGAATCATTGTGCTTGCTTTGAACACGATGAGTGAATTCTCATAGTGCCAAGACCCCCCATAACATACCTTATTCCTATCATCCATCTCAAGGAATTGAAAGACAAACAACATATCCCTGAGTTCCGTAATCTGGAACCCCTTTTTCAGTTTCCATGTCTTTGATAGTGCAATCTTCATTGACTTCAAGTTTGGTTTTTTTTCAGATAATAGACGT